AAATATATGATGAGATGGCCGTTCATAATATATTCTTCTTTACAGGGTATAATATATTATTCTTTACAGGGTCAACATAAAAATGTGAACTTCCTAGAGTAACATCGACAAAGAAGCGTGTGACAAAGTACGTTCCACCCATAAAATATGGTGTGTATAGTACTTCCAGGTAAGTCATAGTTCCGTGGATTAACAAATAAATATAAGTGCACATTGATAACGTATTCTTTTTATACAGGGTCAACATTAAAAGATGCATTTTTCAGAACCGCGTCGGCATAGAAGCGTTTGATGTTCATACCTACTTCCAGATAAGTGACTTTTAGTTTTCTCTTTTTTTTAGTAGTCTGAGATGAATTGCATATGTGCTAGTGCACGTTACTTCTAAGATACAATAATATGAAGTTCAACATTTTTAATTAATTGCAGATTTATGATGTTTTTTGAGAGTCAAAGCAAAATGATGCATTTTCTATCATATCGTGCAAACAGTAGCGTGTAGCATCAAATCAGAAATGCAATAAAATGCTATTTAAACTGCACAGACGCATTAACCTAATACTTTTATATAATTGCCGAAGGACGATGTAATTAGACAAAATCAAGAAAACTATCATAATGGTTCCAAAGGTTGGCCCCTTCTCCCTCTTGGATTGGGCGGAGTCTGAAGACCACAGCGAGGTGTCTTTGATCACCTTGGTGGAAGACATTTGCAACCCCTGCCTCTCTAAAGACTGTGATGCTGGCGTTTTCCATCTCAGACACAGCCCTGACAGTTTCCATGGCACCCCATTCCGAGTTCTTCAGCGCATTGAGGTATCTGTCGATACGTGTCTCCAGTGACAATGCTATTCCGTTCTCCATCTCTGGAAAGCGGTCAGATACGTCGAGGAGCGTCCCCACCAGAAGCTGCTCCCACTCTTCACGAAGTGGTCCGGCAAGGCGCTGTCTGATGTGGGTCACAACGCGCCACCGGAGGTTAGTAACTTGCTGCTCAGAGGGCATAGTGCCATTGAGTTGGTGAAAGAGCGACACAAAGAGGCAGTGACCATTTCCTGGGACTACAGCTACTCTGGCCATAACACCACCGACGTCAACGACGTCTTCATCTAGAGGCAGCGGCGCAGGTGATGCTGGCGGCGGTGAAGGTGACGGAGCTGGTGGTGGCCCAGGCGGTTCGCTAGGTGATGTACCTGGCCGTGGCAAAGGTGGTTCGGTGGGATAACCAAGCTGCGCCTTTGTGCGGTGGGCCATATTCACGATTTTCTGAATCGCCGTTAGTCTACGTTTCAGAGAGGGAGCCGTGTGCAAGGTTGAGAGGCGAGCCCGGACAAAAGGTGGGTCAATCAGAAGAGTGTCCCATGTCTTTCCACGGGTCATGGCCACGTAAGAAAGACCTGATTGAAACTCTCTCTTGCCAACGTTCACAACTACTCTGTCGAGAGTAAGACCTTGAGCACTGTGGACCGTGCTTCCCCAGGCAAGGCGTAGAGGCACTTGCTCTCTGCTGCAGGCTACCTCTTTTACCTTAAAAGTGCGAGTAAGAGGCAGTGTTGGAAAGGATCCGTCAACTGGTATGACAGGGCCAGTGTAACGCTGAAACCTGACAAGCACGGCAAAGGGCAGTTGGTTGGGTGGGCTCTGGCCGTCGGCATAAACGATAGCTGCAACAGTGCCCAAAGCTCCGTTGACGAGGCCAGCTTTTGTCCACAAGTTGGCACGGAGCATTACGAGAGCACCAACTGAGAGGTAGATAAATGATTCAAGACCACCAGCTTCGTCTGGGCCAGCCTTTTTAGCGGTGTCGTTATTGTGGACAGCTGGTATACGGGCGACAGGACAATTCAGTTCGACGAGTCTTTTGATGTTGTAGGCCCTGGCGTCGCTGTTTGTAGAAAAGATGTGCATCGCATCCCGGAATTGGCGTTGCTCTGGCGGTGGGACGACACTTGAAAAACGCTGCTGAAGCAGCTTGTAGCTCTCCACACTACAGCAGCCCCTAGAAGACATCATAAAGAGTAAAGGTAAAAATTAATAGTTGTACCTTGAAGTGGATAAAAATGACCATTTGGGTGGTATCGTCACCGTCTTGACTTACCTGCCAATCTCATCGAGGACACTGCACAGGCTTGTGTCTGTTTGCCGTTTGGATTGAGAGAGCACGACAGCGTGCTTGAACTGAGCAAAGGTATAGTGCCCACGGAGGTCCATTTCAGAAGAACCGTCTTTGGGCACGCTGTAGATGGCCTTGCTGCATACAGGGGGGAGTTGAGCCAAGTCCCCAATCAGATAGATGTGCATATTTCCAAATAGCTCTTTGGAATAGGGATGTGCCTCACTACACCGACGCTCGACCATACCAAGCAGGCTAAGGCTCACCATGGAGTATTCATCAATGAATAGAAAGCGTACGTTTTCCATGTCATCCTGAAAAGCTTTTGCACGCTCTCCGGTGAGTGGGGCAAAGTCACGCGGTCTGATGGGCAGTTGCAGGCCTGAGTGAAGCGTCTCGCCGTTGATGCCCAGGGCAGCCACAGCAGTAAAAGCCATTAGCCGATAGGAGTCACGACCAAGCCGTGCGTCCAGGGTAGATGTCATAGCTTTAATGACTGTAGACTTTCCACAGCCAGCTTTGCCCTGGACGATTACTAGGCGTGGCGGGGTTGAGCCTCTGGGTTTGACAATTTCTTCTATCTGCAGTGACAGGATGTCCATGACAACTTGCTGCTCCGCAGACAAGAGAACAGCGGGGCCGGTCGAGGTTGTGCGCTCCACAACGAATTCTGCTTTTGCCGCTTGGAGGAAGGTCCGTAAAACGTCGAGATTTCCGTAACGGTGTCCCTCGGATGCCCAGTCGTGCGCGAGGTCCATTTCTCTTGTGCCTAGCTCGACACGCTCGACGTTTTGGTTTGGTAGGTGCCGTGCGACTGTCATCCATTCGTCTAAATTCTCTCCTTGTGTAACGTCCATGTCATCTAAATCATTGTTTTCAGGATCTGGAAGATGCTCTTCACCTTGCGGCACCACATTGTTGGCGGTGAATGCTTGACGCCACGTGCCGTGCCCCGACAGGGCTCCCTCTTCAGTTCGCCATGGGACGTGCAGCAAGACTTGCTGGCGATAGTACCCTTCATTGCGAGCAGCGCAGGGAGTGAGGCGCAGACGAGGATTCACGCATACCACGTTAAATTTGGTAAGTTTGGTGTACCTAATCAATTAGAACAAATTTCTCTTTTAAGTAAAATAGTAATAACAATGTGCTTTAAAAAAAGAGCAAGAGCTGTACGACGAACGTCTTACCTTTTTTTGGATGTGTCGTACTTGTAGTCACGAGCAAACGTCCACAACGACACCTCATTCAGGTGTGCAGGCCTCTTGGGGTAGCGCTCGAGCAGTGAGCCGTGCGCCTCGTCTGCTTGGACAGAAGATGACCCGTGTTCAGGATCGCCTTGGACGACGTCAGGATCATCAGCATTGTCCTCTTGGATGTCTGAAGTTCTTTCCGGAGCCGGTGCTACCCAGGTAGGGTCGAAAAAGTTCACTCTTACGAAGTTCCGGGAGCTATGCATGAGCTTCTGTGAAGTTGCAAGATGAATTATTTCTTGAGATGAAAAGTCCCGCTCACTGATGGACTGCACGCAGCGCCGTTGGATTGCTTTTCGTGCACTGTCGTCATCATTTAGGTCCCGCAATGCATCCTCAAAAAGTTCCTGCATGGACTTTGACTTCTTTTCAGGCTTAGCCGAGTATTTGGCAAGATAATTGGCACATAATTGTTTAGACAATACAGGTTTACCGTCCATATTGCCTATCCAGGCTGAAATGACTCGTTCAATTAAATTATTTAGAAGACTGTCATTCCTTGCTGGGATGAACTGAGGTTCACCCTTTTCATCAAAGATAATTTCAGTACGATCCGCCAGCTGAAAGGGAAACTTGAAACGGCATTCTAATGGCTGTCCTGGACCTTTGCTTCGGCGCAGGCAGTAGGCTTCAGTGCAGCGCAGGTGGCGCTGGACTCTATTCAAGAGCTCTCCAAGATGGCGCACTCGGTCCTCAGGTGCGACGTCCTTGAAGCGCTTGCGGCAGGGATGCACTTGAGCAGGCGGAAGGCCTAGGCCGACGTTCCACGCGGACACAATGTTGTGAAAGTAGTCCACGACGGTCGCGAACTCCTCAGGAGTCATTTCCTTCAGTCGTGTCACGTCAGGGGCATCTGATAGCCAGAGGAGGCTGTGTATGTGTGGCGACCCACGAAACTGCCATTCAAAGCGCCACCAAAAATCCTTGACGGGATACATGAGCTTTAAAATTTTTCCCATAAAGTACTCCGCCCTCTTCATAAAAAACACACTCGGGACGTACGGCTGGTCCGCAATGAAATTTCTTCTCTGTTCTTCTGTAAGCTCTTCTAACAGAATACGCTCACCATCAGTGAGGTTGGCATTGTACTGCTCAAGCATGAGGCGGAAGAGATCTGGCCAATGAAGATCGGCGGCGCTGAGAGTCATAAAGATGGTTGGGACACCTAACTGGTTGATCATGTCCAGTAGCTCACTAAGGCGTGCACCCCAGTATTGGCGAGTGCCATGCAGCTTGGTGCCGTAAAACATAATATCACGGGCAAGTCCAGGTCGCTGTCTAGCCATTTCCCGCAGATCCCTGACAGTCTTGCCATGGAGGTCCTCGTTTCTCCTGACGTAAATGCTGCCTGCACGTAAGGCTTCGTGGCGCATTACGGTGTTGAATGCAAAAAAACGGAAACGGGGATCGTTTGCGAAGCGCCCATCTTTAAATTCTAGAAGGAACTTGAAGTACTGCACTGGCGTGAGACGGTGTGGTCTTTCCAAATTCAAGTCTGCAGCGCCCGTAGGAAATAAAGCTGGGAACGCCATACTTATGTACCTGATGTGATTCAAAACAAACAGCATCAATACGTGGTCTTGTGAATTTGGAATATTTTCTTATTAAAGTTACTTAAAAATGAAAATTATGGAACTTTTTATCATTAAGTACGGAGACGTAGCATTTTTACAGAAGTTCATAAGCTCAAAGGACACAATTTTATAAAAAATCGATTTTGTGGACCAGTCAGAAAACCGAAAATATGATGAAGACTTTTGATTGGGTGCTTTATTTAGAATATCAATGTTCCATTAACTAGCA